AATAATTACAATTCCCACGTCCCTAAACTAGTTCGTATTACCAATCAACACAATCTAATATAACATCGCATAAGAGTTCGTATATTATTAAATAAGGGATATTTGGATCTAAAGATTGATATTTAGATAATCCCGTCAATAGGTCTATCAAAGTCGCTAGTGAAATGATTAAAGCCGCATGGGATTATTGGATGTAAAGCACCAGATTCACTACTTGCTAATATAGTCTGATTAACGAATTTCTCTCAACTCGAAACAAAAGCGACACATTTTGTAATTCGTTGTTTGGTAATATTTAAGCATGAGAACTAACACAGGAGTACGTCGCTATTATTGCAATTTCTACAGGTCACCATCAGGGCCCGTGCATTGAAGTGGCCACTCGGCAATCACTTATGTCTACTCGTGGTAACATATGCTACAGTTATGTAGTTGCTATGGTAATTCAGTTTAGTGTGCTATTGTACGTTGATCGATCTACGGATATAGCCTACAGCATAGACTAATAACATAAGTAATTATGTAATATAAATTATTATTGTAACACCATATATATATATTATAAAATATATACATATAGGCCTAGTATATATAGATGTATATACATATCATGTAAATATATATATATATATATATATACACTTATCATATATGTATATATATGTCTATATAGCCTATATTTATATTTTAGTATTTTTATATTTAATAATAACAATGGGAGGTATAAATCATATACATTAAACTAAATGTATGCACATGATTTTATAACCTTATACTATACAATATAGGCTTACGTTGATAAATGTTATATAAAATATAATTTGTATATAAATGATGTATACTGTTATGGGCAATCATCTTATTAATGAGTTAGTACGCCCACATATATCAAGGGTACCGCTATATTATTGCCAAAACAAACAGGATAAATGTAGCATATATAAGGGCACCAGCATAAAGAATTAGTATAATATATTACACTGTAGGGAAACCTACCAGTCCCTAATTCATTCCTAAAACAATATACTACATTAATGGGTATTGTACGATGTTTCCCCTTTTGAAGTATATTAATTAATTATGTAATAAATGAAGGCTGCTTAAAGTATCCTTAAATAATGCTGTTTTTTTGTTTAACCTCCACAATCATACAGCAACACACGGTAGTTATTGCTGATAAACATAGGGCCTATACATAAACCATAATTAATTGCTGTAGCTATTGGAAAACGCTAAAGTTAATCGCATTATTAACTGCAAGCATTTGACATTCAATTTGCTTACTCTCTCACACCGATCCATGAAGAAAAAATAATATTAAAATAAATAAATAATAAGACAGAGTAGTTTTAAAGTAAGAAAAACCCATCTAGTCGAAGTATTTGCAAAGAAACTTTCTTAATTTTAAAATACAAGCAATATGCATAAATCTTATACTATAATTTATGACTTGGTTTAAAATATTATGGTAATTTTTTTTTTCGTCAAAACATACCTTAATATTCAATTGAAAGATCCAATGAAATTCTTTGTTAGCAAGAGTGCGAGATCAATTCGTGAGGATAACAGAAGATCAAAGAGTCCGTGTGAATATCAATATCTGTGCTGACAACAGGCGCACAGTAAGACGTTTACATTGAAAGTGACGAGCTGGCCGACAGCTGGCGCATTTTGTGGCTTTTCCGAGCGCGGATGAATTTCCACATCGTTTGCTGCTGTTGCTGAAATGAACTGGAGGCGGATGTGCAGGGTAGTTCAGCGTTATTAGCACTTCCGGTTTATCGTTTAGTAAGCATGGAGGAAAGAAGCGGTCATGTCATCAAACAGAAGGACGCTAGGGTACTACATAAACAGGATACAATTTATGGTTTGCTAGCAATGGAAGATTTGGGGGGGGGGGGGCGGGCCAGTCCCAGCCACTCCCCCTTTTTGGAAAGTTAAAAAAAGAAGTTAAAAAAAAAAGGGGGAAAAAAATGATCGCCCAAAACCCATCTAGAAAACAAAAATTTTGCGAGGGCATTCCCCCGGACCTGCACCCCCTAGGGTGGTGTTATCTCGATCGGCCCCACTTTCGGACATCTCTGGACCCGCCCCTGGCTAGTACTACGAATTAAGGGGTAAGAAATTGAAAAATACGTGATAGGTTTTTTAGGTTACTGAGAATTGCACAGGCATGATCTTGTATAGAGTATTTATTAATTCACTTTATGACATGACCGCTTCAGTGCCATGAAATCAATCAGATAATAATTATGATCAAAAAATTTCATTTAGCTTCAAGAAGACGGCCCGAGAATACGGACTGACAGCTACTGGTGATAAACGATCTTTATTCATCAGCTTAACATAAATGAAATTCGAACTAATATGAAAATAATTAGTTGATTATTCTATTTATTCAATAATAATACTTACTATTAATTATTACTAGTCATTCAATAATGTATAAATGAAAACTACTAAAAAGGAATACATTCTATTGATGGGTACAAACATTGAGTCAGAAATGTTATGAGTTATTGTTCTATCAGTATTATGCTTACAGACAAGTATTTTTGTGACATTAACAGAAAGTATAGCTGATAATTGATGTGTTTGTTTATCATTCATTCATTTATGTACTATTATTAATTGAATACAATAGTTGACATGTAATAATTTCGCATTATGAATGAACAAATTATTATTATCATAACTAATAGTATTTATTTCAGTCTTTTGTAGGTGTTTTTATAGACATTCAGTAATTCAGCGTCATTCAATTAGCTGACTTTTATTCCAAAACCACTAAAATTATTGAAATTATTGAAATCAATACCCGTATCAAACCGACGGACCAGTATAGTAAATATAAGACAACGATACATTGATAGAGCAGTTGTCAGGTTTCCCATCGCTACACGTCAGTCATGTTCGTCTTCGAGAGTAATACAGAAAGTTCAGTTCCCCCATTGAGTAAAAGACGAAGTAATGTGATTGATCATCGAATGAGGAATACAGCAATATGATTGGCTGTTGAGTACGCCTAACTAATAGTCTAAATAGTCTTATTGGTCATTGAGTAAAGGTATAAGTAATTACTTGTTTCCATATAGTATTCCATTCATCAAAATTAACATGAAGAAATAAAAGTCAACAAACCATTTAAGTTATCAAGCAATTAATCATCGAATGTAGGCGAGAACAAATTCTGGTTTAATTATCTAGTCTTTGTTATGATTTCCTTTCGCTGGCATACCTTGCACGAGCACATAAAGCATTACGGTTGTCCAGCTGTTACTAAAGACGATGGGGATTTTGGGTTAGGTTTATCACAAGGCCTAGATAACAGCATTCGCTAGTATCGAACGCTGTTATCATCTGTTTCTACTTATCTGAATATTAATAGCATTCATAATAACGACCGGATTGCAACAATGTATATTTTCGTAGAGCTTAGCAGTGGATTCAGCAATTAGAAATGTGAGGGAGGTGAGGGGCGGTAGAGAGAGATAAATAATACATTAGTAAAGGCCTATTGTAAACTGAAGTAATATAGACAGAATGTGTTACTATAAATCTGATCGACTTTATAGGACGGTCGTTATAGTTGTAGACTATAACGAAAGTCCTATAACTATAACGACAGTCCTATAAAGTTGTTATAGTTGTAGACTGGAATAAATTGAACTGCTACTGTGCATACATTACTACCAAGCATATCAGCAATCTATGCACACCCGAGGTAGGGAAGTGTTAAAGTTGACTATCTATAGACAGGATAGGGGGCGCTATTTAGGTATAAAGCGTATCATTCTAGAGCCCTGTCTAGTTCACTGTAACTTTGTAAAATTTTATTATTATTTCAACTTTGTTCGTTAACGAGCCCGTGGCTTACCCACCAGTCGCCTAGTTAGTAAGGGAGTTGTAGCTTGGTGGTTCAAATGCTTGCCTCCTCATGCTCCAGCTGGTTCAAATCTAACAAAAAAAGCAGGCATTTTTTTACACAGTACCGTAGTAGTTCCAGAAATTTGCCAAAGAGGGGTCAGACATCCGACAGAGGGATCCGAACGAAGGAGTCGACTAGAGCCTCAATCAGGGTCTCGGAATAAAAATTCCTGGTAGAGTCCATGGGGAGAGTTTTTATGGCTTAGTATGGCTCAAAATTGTTCCTTTATACCACAAACTGGCAACGAAAATAACGTTTTGAGTAGGCAGATTAATAGTTTTCGTCCGACGAACTCGTCGTTCCGTCGAACGACGGGGAATCCAGGCCTGTACGACGGGAGACGATTACCCCTAACCCCACCCTCATCGGCGCCACCACTGTCTCGCCGGGGTATTTTGAAATTACCTACAGTAGTATGAGAAAAATAATTTTAAAATAGACAACGCCGTACATTTTATTGACGGAATTTCCCTTTAAATAACTGAGCTAAAACAATAAAAAGAAAATTTGAGAACAAAAAATAACCTGCAATTCTTACCCATGAGAGTGAATTTACGGGCATCTTTGAAGCAAAATATTTCTGGGGAATGCATACGGACCACCTGTGATAGTTTTAATGATTATATTTTATATGATTAACTTGCAGGCCCATATTATTTCTCTATCAAAAGAGTACACCCATAGTAACAATAAATATCAAAAACCTAAACTTTTTAGACATTATTTTTTTCAGTCATGCACAATTAAGAAAAGTGAGAGCACCCACCCCCTTACAAACTGGCCATCTTCTAAATCGCCTCATTTGCACGCTAGCGCCTCCCACTTTGCTATATTATTATTGAGAAATTGGTTCCCATCATTTTGAAAATCCTGGGTCCGTTTCTGTATTTATTTACTTTACCAATCATTGCCCTGTCTTGTTATGTTTTGGCATGTTTGGTGAGGTCCCTGAACAATAATGGTACTCAAAATTGGATTACGAAGATTTAGATACTATCCGGTATCTAGATCACAAAAATCAATTTGGTGTTTGGTTTCCTAATGAATATACTTATTAGAGCGTGAAATCATGAGCATAGGCCTAGTAATATTTATGTATCACCGAAGATGACTGCTTAATTTTTTTTTTTCCAGTTTTGACTATAAATCTACAATCTACATGATGCCCTAACGCAACACGGTTTGAGTTAGTCTCTCTACGTGTAACATTTCTTGCGACAGATGTTATACAGTGACGATAATACTCTTAGAAATACTGACATCTATTCCAAAAGATATTTAGGCTATGCACGCCCATTTATCATAGATATATTACGTATATATTACGTACAATTTCTACATAATTCAAAAGATCGATTGATACATTAACATCAGGGAAAACGTCAACAACTCTAATAAAAACATAAACAACAAAATCGTGGGATGTAATCGTTTTAGGTTAACGCAAGCATACAATGGAAAGCGAAAGCCAATGGCACACACCAATTGCGCCTTAGCACTAATTTTCAAAATAAACATCAACAACGTTTACGTTCTTGTCATTAACGATAATTGGATTCTTTCAGCTAGCACACACCAACACGTCACAGTAACAAAGTAGAATACGATATGAAATTTTTCTGACGTCATCATATTGATGCTGTGACGTTGCATCCGCCATTCAGTGCACAAATATCGGCGGCGATGAATTAGCGAGAAATATAACAGGTTTACCTACAAAACGGCATTGTGATAATGAATTAGAACTTCCGATCTGAGGGAGCTTAACGTCAGATACAGGGGTAAACATATGATTTTTGGATGACTTGACACGCGAGTGTAATATCGACTGCTTCACTTTAATGTCGTATTCACACACGGTTCAGTTTAGAGACCTATTTATAAAGTCAATACATAAGCAGTGCAGGTGACAACAGGATTTGCCGGACGACTGAGAAGATGGAACTGATGGGGCGGGCCAGGAGCGGCCATGAACCCATTAGAAGGGAGCAAAGGGAGAATCCCCCAGAAGCACCGACAATTTCAGTGTGAAAGGATTATTTAGCCATAATGGATTCTTGAGTAGGCCTACTGTAATCTGTTAAAATTATACAGGATTTTTTTTTCTCCTCTATGGGTAGGAAACCTCTTCCTGGCGGAGATCACTGTCTCCTTGTCCTAGGCCAATTGCGCCACCACTATGCCTGAATAGTTAAACATTATTAAGACCTGTGAATATACTCCACAAGCTACATCGATATCCCTCAACAATATTGATTCGTAATTAAAGAATATCAAACGATTTTACTTTGTTTTCATGCTGGTGACCCAAAAACAAAATACGGAGGCGTAGATGTATATAGTCCATGTTGTGAAATGCATTCGATCGAATAAGAAAACAACATACAATCAATTGGATCGGATCGGATTATTCGGCAATCAATTGAAATCTTCACATGTTTTGATATCATGAACTTATTGTGACTGTGCGACACACACACACACACGAGCACGCGCACCCACACACACAAACAAAAACAAAAAAAAATACGAAAAGCTATACAAGATAACTAAAGTCCTGTAGAATGGTTTGAGTATAATTTGCACGTTTTATGTTCTCCCTCCAATTCAAAGACACTTCTGGAACCGGGCTTTCCACGTTCTTTAGTAGCTTTGATCTCTAATTGTGAATTTGGGACCAAGAGTGGTCTTTAATTGCAGGTGGCCTTTAACTGTAATTTAAAAACGATTATGCCCATAGAAGATTATTTTCTTGGTTCTTTGAACTTGCAAGAAGGACAATAAAAGTTCCATGCCTTTTTTCCCCTATTATTCGGAAAACCAACCTACGCACTACATCAGAAAGACAATATATTATTTCATTTATATTCTTTTCTTTCATACCGACAACTTATAAACAAAATCTCGTTTTCTCTGAAAAGCTCCTCTTTTTTACATACAGCCCTATTAAAATCTAAATTATAAGAAGCTTAATATGGAACTTAATGAACGAGCTGGAGTACAGTGTTTGTCCCTAGTGTGTGTGGGTCGGTGGGTGTGTTTGTGTGGGAGACATAAAGAGATTTCATTACGGAACTAATTAAAATGCAGTGTAAATATTAATAGCGATCTCCTCACGAATTAGTCGCTCGTACATTTCCTTAGAAGACGCGTGCGTCTAAATGAAGTTACGCGCTACATCACGACCAATTATAAGATGGCACACTAGATATTATTATTATTATTATTATAGATAAATACAAACCCCATTTAAAACAAATAAATTTTGGGCTTGTAACAACGGAACAATTTTGCCAGGATGTGATAAGAAAATTAATGAATTTCAAACGTGACATGGTTAAAGTATCCTGGATGTGGGAAGAACAGGTGATTTCATTATGCATCACAAAAACATTATAAAAAAATATTCACGTAATTTAATGCGAGAGTTAACAAAACCCACCGTGTTTAATTTCTATCCTGATTCAACAACTGCATATATGAATTCAATTTATTGCTATATACCTTTGTGCAGTCACATCCATAGAGATCTTTCCAGATCTTTGGTGCCGGTTGAATATCAGGACAAATGTTCAGGCTTCCGTGAGCTATTATAGGCCTTCTAGGTATGTTTTACAAAAATTCATGGATAATAAAGTGTCTTAAAATCTACAATAGGAATGAAAATCTTTGCTGTTTCATAATGTTAAGGGAACGTGACTGAAAAATCTGCTGTTGATATTTTCGAAGGAAAAATTATATTTCTAACTAATAAAATAATAATGATTGTACGACACTGATAATTAAATAGGCTTATATCAAATAAAAGTATAGAATATAATTATTAGATATTCAAAGCCTAATATTACATTATATGCCATAGTATTTTAATTGAAAAGAAACTGTACCTTTAATCAAAAGTTAATGTTAGGAATGCACATGTGTCTATTAATATTCAATTATCCTAAAATTAGTCTAAACTATGTTGTCAGTAACAGTAAATTCGTGATCATTACTGTATTTCTTATTTCTCTCTTAGTTTAGCATTCTCTCAAAGTGACAGACATAAAAATCAATCAACACATACAATCAGTAGGTTTGCAAGGTCGCGGAAAGTTCGCACCTTTTCTCTCACTTTTAACACCAATATTCACTAGCAATACGTTAGATTTGACACGGTTTAATGTCACTATTATCGTCCACTGTGGTTGGCATTATTTTGAATGTAAGAATGTCCTCGAAAGCTCGTTATTTTTATCAGAATATAATCCATATTGAACGCTCATCGGTGAACCTAATTCCAGCGGCAGTGACATTTTATCATTATAATCATTATACAAAAAGTAGAGTGGATTTTGTATGGAAGGCAAAACAAAAACAATAACAACATCTACACCAACAACAATACCGTAATAAAAATAACATTAATAATGATAATAATAATAATAATAATAATAATAATAATAATAATAATAATAATAATATGATAATCATCATTATCATAATTATCACTACCATTATCACTATCATTACTATCATTATTCCAATTAGGCCTATCATTGGCCATCTCAAAATCGGGGATGCGCACATGTCTGCACTTCGTGTTCGCGTCTGTTATATTTTTATATATATATATATATATATATTCTTCTAGTGTTATTTCAAGAACCACAATGAAAATCATATCAGTAAAATTATTGTCATCCTGGTTAAAGATGTTAATAAATAAATATATATATATATATATATCACTATCATACTCATCATAATCATGATTATTATTATTATTATTATTATTATTATTATTATTATTATTATTATTATTATTATTATTATTATTATTATTATTATTATATACTTATTAGTATCTATCTTATAACCATGACATTAAGTACCGGTAGCTAAGTTTAGATAATTTAGTCATCAATCTGAGATGTTCATTGACGCACTAAAATGCATGGTACAGAAATAGAGATACTTTATAAAGTACCTCGTCAAATTGCTCTAATGTCAACGACCATTGAATTAATGACAAATTTCAAAAACTGCAATGCTTCGGTTTAAGTTTGATTGAAATAAAAGGTCTCGTGTGACGTCACTCGATCACATTCGATAACGCGCCGTCCACGGTAAACACAAAAATTGCACGTTTCAATTTCACCGCCGGTGCTATGACGTCACTTTTTTTATGGAACGTTTACTAGGTCTTATTATTTATATAATTGTAAAGACGAAATAACTGTAGAAACGAATCGATATCCTGTTCTGAAGACGGAAAAGATTCCCCAAGCAATAGCCTATCTCCCGGTTTGCGTCGGCAAATCATAATACGATTTTAACGACGCGCGCTTCACGCGTCGGTATACCTGTTTTATATTACATTACAGCTACGTCCACATATCTCACTGACAACATTATAGTATTTTGGATTTATAATGTCATTGAACCAACAATGTTCTCAGCCTAAAGAAATAATTGAGGTTAGTTTAATACATTATTTATATTAAATACTGTTTGTTGATAATTCATTAGAAGTTTGAACCAGATTGGTGGGAATTGACTATCCACACTCTATGTCAGTATAATTATGCAGGAGGTACAACATTAGCTAACAGAATGATGCACTCACAAAGTATCAGTCTCTGGTCTGATCTGCAGTCAAACAAGAAATCGTATGTGTATGATATCTATTTAACTAACTATATCTTGTATTTTGATGTATTTATACAATTGTACACAAATGTACAAGGAAAACAAATCCCCGAACAAACCTGAGATTGTTATGACAATAAAGGATACCTGTATCCTGTATCTTGTTGCATAAAAATAATTTATCGTACCGTTAGCATATATGAAAACACATCCTACAAGTGATTGATACGCACGCACGCATGTACGTTTCGTATTCGAGAGTTCATTTAAGGTATTCTCAGCCTTGTTCATTCATACTGCATTCAAAAGAATGTATCTTTCCGTTTTGTCTAAATCCAATTTCGATGTGTTCCTCGGTCGCGCTAAAATGTTTCCCTTTGATTACTAAATCCCATTGTGACGTAGATTTCAACTTAGTGATGAGTCAAAACGTAAGCATTATTGCTTTTCTTAATTCTTCGATCTCCCTTCAGACAATAATATTGTTAAACGATTTCATTTGGAACCATATACATATAGCAATGGTAATTATCCAATGCTTATATAATCCACAGCTATTTCAATATATTGCCTGAGATGATGGAGAGTTGCTGACAGCAATCAGATAAGGAATGAATCAGATTGGTACACAAAAAAGAACGATTATAAACTGATAATAATGATTGAAATTTAGGCTTATTTAAATTGATCCTCCCACGCCAGGATGCAGTTTCTTTGATTATAAATACGTATCAATTTTACACACACACAAATATAAATAAATAAACGCCTCACCCAAAAAAGAGCCCCCCCCCCACAAAAAAAAAAACCAGCTTCTAAACAATAAATACGGTTATCTCTAAAAAAATAGCATACACCTTTAACATAAGTGAAATGTTGGCAACACTTAAAAGAGTTATTTTTAATTTTGAACACGTAATCAGATGGAACCGTAAAATAATTGATGCTATTGCACATTGTAACTTTAAAAATTCATATGAAAGTTTACATATGACGTTGACAAAACCTTAATAAAACAAAGTATACAAAAATGGCTAGCAGTGATTAATGCATGCGTACTATGGTGAATAACATACTTCTAAAAATACACTAACACGATCGAGAGCAACAATAACTTGTCTATGATAGCTATTTATCATCACGTAATGTGGCGTAAATAAGAGAACTACATCAAAAGGTTAAGGATGAAGCTGTCTGATACCGTCATCTTATAATGTCAATATTATGAACATCTTAAGATCATCATATTAAGTACGTCTTAACAGTGGCGGCGGCACAAATTCCCCGACGAGGGATGTCCCTGAAGGGGTCCCACACCCACCTTACCCCACGATGGTTTGGCTCAGGTGATAAGCACCTCTAGATGACCGCCGAAATGGCACCGTCAGACTGTAAAAAATAATATTACAAAGCAATGTTCCCCGCCGACGTAATGCGACTTATTCTCCGATCGGGGAGGGGAAGGGGTGACCACTGAATCCCCACAGGCGCCGCCACTGTGTTTGCAAAAAAATATCACAAATGCAATTTTTTTCACTATGTTTACATCATGTATCACATCAAGAATGTAAACGTGTTTACATTAGAACGAATCTCTTATCGTATACAAACACAAAATAAACGCAACCAAAGATGAACATTTCTTAATCAGGTGCGTGATGGCGACATTAATCACATTATCCAGGCCGAATCTACCTTTACCACAGAATGAACCATTCCACTAAACACCATCCTTTCAAAATTGTTGTTTTTAGGCCCTTCGACAGCATAAACGTGCGTAAGCTAATATCGTTTGTGGAAAAAGTGCGTGTCTCTGGCCTGCTCTGATTATTCAATTGTTAAGTTCGGACAATCCGTAAAGGTCATCAATCACAACGTGTTTTTTTTTTTAATTATTCATAACCACATGCAAACAATACATGTAGACAACTACACGTACATAAATTATATATTTGAAAGCTATATAATTTTAATTATAATAACAAGCACAATTATATAATTGCTGGTAAATACTGTAACAATGAACCACCGATGTAAACTGTTAGACCACAATGTACACATTGTATACTATATATACAACCAAACACTTTCATGTATAATGCATAACTCGAATAATATCTAAGTCGATCTTATTTCACATACCACATTGTTGTATTTTACATTAATTAACGATCTGTAAGTCGAATTTTATCTAATTTTTCAATGCCTCGTTGGATTCGACTTGAGCAAGTTAAACTTACTAATAAAAACAAGATTATACAACTATGACAAACACTTATATTATATCACAAAAATTATATATAAACTGTTAAACATTTCATAAAAACATTTTGTTGTTAATATACTTTATGGCAACCACTTATATGTTAGGTCAATTACAAATACAGTACTTTGTAACGAATCTACAGTTTAATGTATTGTATATTTGTCTAATTTATATTGCTTATTGCTGTATTTTAAAGTAGTACACCATACACTTTTTTAACAGTAATATCAGTTAAAAGGGGGAACGTGTATTGGGATATTCAATATAAAAATATTAAACCATTAAGTTCAGACATAGAACAACAACCAGTATTATAAAAGGAGGAATGTAAAACAAAGAACATTTTTTCACCATTTTCCTAACTTGTTTATTTCCACATTTCAATATCTCAAGTATTTAAATTATCCTTTGAATTTATATTGCTTATCATGAAAGAAGGCGAATAATATGCACAATACTGAATTTATGATATTACTGAAGTATAATGCAGCATAAGTATCGAATTATAGGATCTTATCTGAAGATCTTATATTAAGATCATATCTTAATATCTTACTGTATCTTATATACATTATTGGATATCAGTTACCATACCAACAAATAGTTACTTGAGAAAGTACAAACTAATGTAAACAAGATTATGGCGTGTTTATATATTGTATAATTGCTGCTAACCAGCTTGATTACTTTGGACGGAATGAAAAGTAAGATTAGATAATATTTTAAATAGGTTAAATCATATAGACCTAATAACAAATCTATGGTAGAACATTATACAATACATCAAAATCCTCTGAAAACTGTGCAGATTTTAATAAAGAAAGCACTAAAATCAAATCTATCACCACTAATGGTCCAATCACAAATAAGGTTGCATGTGTACCAATTTTGGTTCAATAATGATCTTAGCAAAATAATGTTCAATTTATCTTTAGTGAACCCTATATCTGTTCACTATGATCTGTTTCAACATTCATGTTGGTTCAACCATGTAGGTAATACCTCCATGGTTCACCTAATAATTCTTCAACAGTATATGTCAATATTTACTCATCAGTGGTGTTCCATTAAAGTTATTTCACTGTCAAAAGATGATATATTTATGATTTATCAACAAACAGTGATGTCCATCAATGTTCTTCAATATTTCACCAAGATAAGTTCATCACGATTAGTTCATCAAAGGCATTTGAATCCATTAATGTTTAATCAATGTTTTCCAAAATGTTGTATAGCAATGATGTTTCCACCAACGTTGGTTTAGCAATGTTTATTTTAAAACTTTATTTTATATGTCTATTTATAGACTGCCTTTTCAGATGCAAAGCGCTTTTTTGTTTTCAAGTCATTTGGTCAACATGGTTGCTGCTAATACCCACCAGATACCCATTTAAACCTCTGGGTGAATAGACACAATTCAGATAGTGTCTCACTCACAGCCACAAGTATAATGCACAGCAAGGGGTTGAAACTACACTCTTTCGCTGCATCAACATTTTAAATTCCACCAATGTTGGTTCATCAATAATGTCCGAAATATATTGTTTCATCAATAAAGTTTGACAAAACATTCATTCACTGTAAATGTTTTATAGTTATTGATCCACCAATGATGATCCAACACTAATAATCAAACAATGAAGTTCCCGCAAAAACATCACAACAGTTGGTTCACCAAACATAATTATTTCATCAATATGGTTTCTCCAATAATGGGAACTTGCAGTATGTCCAGCAAGAGTATTTTTTTTAAATTGATTGATGAAATATACACAACAGATGGTTAACTTAGAATGTTTTTCCGATTGTTCCACAACATCATACATATGATGATTCACCAACACATTCTACTGATATTGCTCAAATACATTAAAACAAAATGATACTGTAGTGTATCAACTCATTTGTATGAAAGACTCTGTTCACAAAAATGATAAAAATATCCAAATATTTTTCAACAGAAGGTTGACGAAATTAATTTTTATGAGCTTCAACAACAACAATATTAATGAAAACTTCTCTACAATTGGCAAGATAGCAATGCATAGTATCTAGTAAAGCAAAGAAATGTTTGAAATTATTTCCAAGAAGACAGTAGCTGCATAAAGGCCTGTACACCCTATCAAATTTTCTCTGAAAAAAAACCAAAAAAACTGTTGTATGCCAATATAATTGTCATGATGTGCCTATATGATCATGATATGATGTCATCATGAACATATTTTAGGCATGTCACATGTTTTTGTCAAAATACTATGTGATAGTTTGGACAGGGCTTTAGAACTCTGAAGACTGCAGAAACATGTTGATCGTAAACATATTTTGGATTTAGCTCTAGTTTTTCCATTCTGTACTGACCATTTCTGAAAATGAAAACAAACCACAACTAAAGCTCTGTTCACACTATCAAATTCTAAAAGTATGGCCATGATATGATGTCATTGCCATATTTATGCATGTTTTTGTCAAAAAAATTTGATAGTCTGGACAGGGCTTTATAAACATTATGAACATGTTAACAGCATCAAAGATTTAAACGGCTCGGTTAGGTGTCCCAGGCAGTTAGGCCCAGGCTAGGCTGGTCAAGTTGCTGGTGCCATATCCTCGAAGTATATTGTTATCATTTCAAAACAACAAAAACAATGTTGCTTGTGTCCACAGGCAAGGCACTATATTAAACATTTGTCTCTCTTGAATCACATATGACTGAGCATTCTATCTCTTAATTTTGAGGTCATGAAACTAATTTTTTTTTTTTGTCTTTAGGCAAAGTAAAATAGGTCTAAATTTATATCACTTGTATAATACAGGAGGCAGCTGTGAAAACTCTTGGATTTCAGAAATTGTGAGGATTTTTTTTTTTTGCTTTTAATGAAATAGGTTTTTTTAAGTTCATAATTAATATGTACTTTTGAAAATTGTGTTATTCTATGAATCATAAAAACAGATATGAAAGGATTCATTGATTGATCGTACATCACCATTCAATGTATAATTTCAATGAATCAATACTGTTTATAATTATTTCAACTTGCTACCTTATATTTCCCAAAATAGTAACACCGTAAAACAGCTATTAGAAGGTAAAACACAACACCACTGTTGTTAAAACCAATTTCGAGATCGTTAAATTTCTAGGAATTCAAATGTTAATCCATTCTAAGAAACCTTATTGTAGGTTCTGTTGACAATTATAACACAAATAAGTATATAATTTATGAAGATACATCCTAAATTTGTGTTATTTGTTATATTTCTTTGAATATAGCTATTAATTCTCCCAATTCTGCCAAATATTTTTCCTACAATATGTGAATTAAAAATAATGAATAAATTATCATTTTAATTATTGTGGTGGATAAATATTAATGAAATTAAATAAAATAACATACTCTAGGTAAAAAAATATCACTTGAATTAACACCACTAATTAACACAACAGAAAAGAAAAAAATGCTATAACTAGACCATATGAATTCTTTTAAACAGTTGCAATCAGTTTAATATTGCACTTTTCAAAAGGATGAAACAACAGCAGCAACAACACCCACATAGATCAACATCTAAATTATTCTGTCTGGTTACACATATCCCTTGAGGTTCATATTTTTCAACATTATTATTAGTAAATGCCTTGTGCCACAAAGGAATCAATAAATACAAAAAATTGTTACATTAGAAAAAAAAAATCCATCAAACTCATCTGACAGATATAAGCTTTGATTCAACTTTGTTAAACTGTTATTATAATGGATTAAAAAAAATATATTGCATTGTAGATTCTCCAAGCTGTGATTATTCTAATATTAAATGCCAGCTTTTCTTTTAGTTTCTATCTCAAATCTCTAATTCTTCAGCAACAATGGTAACTTATTTTAGGATTGTATTGAAGTTTATAAAATATATATTGTCATAATTTTGTTTTGCCTCATATTTTAAGGCAGTATCGATATGTTATATTGTTATCATTTTTTCGCGTTGGGGGCTAGCCAATCTAAAGCTGAAGCATAAAAATCAGCTGGGATGGAATTTATGTATAAATAATAATAATAACTGTCTCTTATACACATCTAGATGTGTATAAGAGACAGGTTTCTTGATTATGATTAGGGCATATGTTGTTTAAAAAAACAAAAATAAACTTTGATTTATTGTTTAGATTACAATTTACAAAGAATAGGCCTAGGCTATTTGTATCGGTTAGAATATGACCAGCATATTTTATTTCATAAATTAAAGTTTATAATATCCAAGTATAGGCCTAGATACAATTAATTAGAAAACTTTCATGTTATTAATATTATTTATCATTTATTTACAGGCGAAATTAACATATTATCGCCGACAATTCACATTGCAAACTACTCTGTCTGCACAGCCTAACCTTTCTCCTCTCTGCAGTGTTGACTCAAAGATATTACAGTAGGGCCTAAAATAGAGAGATGGGGCCTGCCCCTGTCTCTTATACACATCTAGATGTGTATAAGAGACAGGTTTCGCACTGTGCGCAAAGAGGCATAAAACTATTTTAAACAATCTGAAGGGTAATTATTTCCCGGGGCTAATAATGATAACAACATTAAAGGTAAGAACACAAGCTAAAGAAAGTCTATATGGTAGGCCTAGGCCTCCATCAAATCATATATCACAGTTTCTACATATCTAATGTGGAATAGCGTTTAGTATTTCTTTTTTTTAATTATTTTAATCCTGTGACCGCAATGTAAATAACTTTGTGGCTAATGTTACACCAGTGGTAAACCAATTGTACCTGTAGGCTATCATTTTTATGTTTATGTGTCATATCATAGAAGAAATGCATTGAAGATGGTATAGGTCTTTCTCAAGTACACATTAATTAGTATTAAGTTCGGAAATGCAAGTCATAAGTTAAAGATGTTGCAGTGTTTTTTTTATAGAAAATATTTCTTCTTATATATAAAAATAAACTTGGTAGGGTGTGGTATTAGGCCAAAACTGGGGAAATATAGCATAATACGAACGACACTGAAGAACTTCCACACCTACACAAATGTATATAGGCTTAATATGTCAACCTCACCACATGGCATCCATCAATCACATCTCTTTTGTGTCTCTTGTCAGTAAATGTTGTCTATGTTTTGTAATGATCTAGCAGTTCATTGATTTTTTTGTCATAAAACACACACTGTTTCTGCTAAATGATAATCAAAGCACTGTCTGAAAGTGGACGTTTTATTAATGGGCATTGCAGCACTTTGTCTAGGAATCCTGTTATTAGAACTGTACAGTACATTGGTTTTGTGCTTTCCTTCTAGTTTCATTCACCTGAGACCAAGTTCTGAGAAGGACTAATTTTTTTTCGTTCACAACTTGCATATAGTTCAATGAAGGTAAATATTTCTTATAAGTAGGCAGATCAGTGCAGTTCCTAAGAGCGGAAAATGACTCCCCAACTGGGGGAAAGGCACCCTCCCTAACAAAGCAATCCATTGAAAAAAATTCAAGCTTAATCTATCCTATTTCATTCTACATGGCAGCTTTAGTATTTATTGTAATAATTAAATTTATTAATTATCACTTTTGCTAATACTGACACTAGTGGAAGTAAGATAGCGCTTCACTTCAATCAATAATTAGATGATATCTTGTAATTAATTTCCTTTATCTATCTTTATTTGTTTCTTGTTTGACGTGAAAAGATAAAGGCAATATAGTGCAATATGTGCTATATAAATAGATGTTATTATCATAAAACCACAAAAACTGGGGACTTGTCAAAGCCAAAAGTAAACAAGGCCAAATGATGCTTATACAACAGAATAAAGATGACAGTTTCTAACTGTGACAACAGCTAGTAGGCAGTACTTTAAGGGGTATTTGAACAGGTTAAGGAGTAGAAATATTTTGAAATTGCATACAGACCCACTGCTGATATCATATGAGATTTTTTGCTCACTATATACAACATAATGATGAGTAATTGTTATGAGATCAACATTTTTTTACCTACACTTTTTTATAAACCCCACTTAAGTTCTGTACCCTGTTCTGTATTGGAAAAAAGTTGTTTTTTTCTTTTAAGGTGCTGTTAAAGACAAGCCATTTCGGCTTCTATATGCACTAATTCTTGTAAATTGTATATTGTCAATGATCGTTTGTTCTTCTTGTTATTATGAATTAAATATTCATAACTCTGCTAATACTCAACTAATTTCCATAAAAAAAACACTGTTTTAAAGAAGAATTCATGCAAAATTTAAAAATACCAAAACCTCACTTTGAATTTTCCGACAAACGACTGGATTTGCCAGAGCCGGTCAGAAATGACATTAAATCGAGAAAGAACAATACAATATTAAAAAGAGTAAAACGGAAAAGGAAAAAAAGTAAAATGGGAGCTCATGCTTTAATGGTAACGGTAAACATGTGTTTGCTATTAAAATTTACAATTTTTTTTTTTTTAAATAATTTTCAATTGAGAACTAGATAATTTGACTGATATACCACACAGCAAATCTTTCAGATATTAAATTTTATTATTCGAGTTTATTATCTCAACAGACTGTATCCTTTAGGAGCAGAATTTGATTTATTGCATAACTTTGTAATTCAAACAGTAGCATATTGATCATAACCGAAACAATAGCGAAAAATAAATACTCTGTCTCATCCAAACAGTCGTCAATACCAACAATGGCGTTTAAATTTAGATTGTGTAAACACAAACCCTGTCAGAGGAATTCACGGCCGACGGCAGACTCTAATTATTCCACAATTTAATCAGCTATGTTAACTCTTCGGTGTTTACATAAAGCACATATGCAATACCTTGCCACATGCCAGAAAACACTTGGACACACTTTTAGCAGGCTGATGATAGTGATAGATAAAACATGGTTAAGAATTCAACCGTGAATAAATGGCCCAATTTCGTAATGTAATGGGTATTTGAAAAAAAAAATGGTTATTAGGTGTATGTGATAGAGTGTCAACCTTTTTCCAGACCTTATAACTATGCAGACATATTTTATTCAACCTCTTCATGAAGGTTTCTATCTCTGTTCTTTGTTGATTGAATAAAATAACAAGTTTAATGTTATGATGTTCATTCTTACAGTATTTTTTTTTCAATACATGAGTATATGAATTATCTTAGTAAAAAAAAAAAATCATTATTCTCATCACCACTCAATCACCATCATCAATCATATTATTAATTATTTCATCAATCATAATTCATCATCATTAATCATCATCCTCAACACTACAAATACATCAAAATCATTGATCATCAACAACATCAAAGTCAGCGACAACCAAAATTTTAATTTCAATTTCCTTTATTCATTTAAATTAAATACAGGACCATTAATTTGTG